CCATAGAGACTCCCTTTCAGAATAATAAAAATAGTCTATAATTAACATCTGCACACAGAATGCTGGTCAAGAATAGCTTTCTTATTTTGTAATAGCTATTCTAGTCACGTTCTTTGTGTAGAAAAGCTTTTAAGAATTGTGTGGAAGTGCAGCATGATTTCAAGACTTGGCTGCTTCTTAATGATCTCTGTAACTCATAAACCAAAGATTACCCTCATTTCGTTCAGTGATACTTTAGATAAATCTACATTCTTACATTGCAATGGAATTATTTCTCCTTTTAGTGAAGCTTTCTATCACGAATGAAGAGAGTTGATGATAATTTGCTCTAACAATACAACTTTACCTCTTTTATTGTGGTACCATCACTCTGTTAAAGAGCTCTGTGCAAAAACTGTTTTGAAAAATAATTCACAAAAATTCTTTGAAACAGCGTAAGCCAAAACTCTGACTCTTCCCTTTGGGAACATTTCATTTTTCTTAGCTAAAGGATGATAAAACCAAATACGAATTCATTAACCTATATTAAGAAAATACTCCTTTTGGTGATTTCTCCACTCAAAATAGGTTTCATGTTGCAGGGGGAAAAAAAGCAAATCACCCTAGATTTATTTTTCTACACCTTGCATGCTGATTTCTAGAACAACTTTGAGAAATAATAGTAGAAAATCAGCACAACAAATTAGACCTGCTAAACGGTGTCCCTGCTCACTGCAGGGGGGTTGGACTAGAAGACCTCTAAAGGTCCCTTCCAACTCAAAACATTCTATGATTCTATGACTCTATGAAATGTGGTAACAAAGGTGTCACGATGTAAATACTCGAACACATTACAGATAGGTAAGAGAGGAAGTTGACTCTGATTCCTCTTCCCAAAAACATGCGTAGGAGAGGGGGAAAAGTAGTGTGCTACAAGAAGAGAACTGGCTGTTTAATACACTTAGAAGAGTAAGATGTTCGTTCCTACGTAATCACTCATCTGTCATGGCTTACACATGCCAAACTAGAAGACAGTCATAGGAGACCTAATGAACATTCACTCTTGCACCGCCATTAAAAAAGAAGTTTAATGAAAGGCAATGCTTCCCTAGTATATCCCATTCAGACATATCTCTACTCACTGAATTTAAGATCACCTAGTGTAACCCTAGTTTCATGTAAGCAAATGCATGTTTTTAATTGTGTTGATGAGCACGTAGTATGGATGTGTGATGATGTGTGAGTGGCTCATCTCTTGTTTGCGGAGCGAAAGCATCAAAGATTACAGTTCCGTACCACTTTTGCCTTTTCTTCCAGTGCATTCCCAAGTACAGTGTTTAAGCTTTTTAGTGTCTCTTAGCTGATCTACAATAGCAGGTAGCCCAGCAAGGTTGCTGATAACTGTGCCTGGTTATGACGAGAGGAGTGTGTGTGTAGGGGAAGATTTAGGCTCTGGGACCACTGAGGGAGAAAGTAAAAGCCATAGGAAAAAAGCCCTCCTGTGCCTAAGTATACCTATATCTTTCTTTATATGGAGAGTTGGAGGGCTGGTTGTTATTGGGATTTACATTGTTCAGGTTTTGATCAAGAAGACATGCTTGAATATTTTTCCATATTTAAAGAAGAAGAAACAGATTTTTTCATATTTCTAAAAGAGGAGTGTTGCATTTGAGGTGGTCAGTGATGCCATTTGAGACTCGGTGCCATAGCCTGTACACCTCTTTTTTCCAAGCACACCGAATTGTTACCAAGTATGTTTGTTCTAGTAAGTGCTGAAGATGGGACCACATAGCTGTAGAGCAACTGTTCTGGTGTGCTTCTGGATATGGCAATGGGACAAGTTGATGGAAATCTATTTTGTAAAACTGCTAAAACAGATTCCATTTAATTAACTAGCTTAATCGCCTAAATACATATTTCATGCTCCATGTCACAAACTTTGTTTCTGAAACTCATTGATGGATGTGCTATGTCTTTTTCGTTGTGCCCAAACTAGCAGCCCACGGTACACTGAACCTATCAGCTTGAAAGCCTTGCTCTTTAGTGTGAAGAATTATCAGCAGCCATGTGTAAGTGTGTGGCGAGGTTGATATCTACAATTTAAGTGTTGCTCTAACAACTGGAGTATTGCTTTAATGGCTACCCGCTCCTTTAGTTACAGTAGGCCTCAGCTCCTTTCTACGGCTGTGGCATCTTGTTATTTTGTTTCGCTGCTTCATGTTAATTGCTTTAGCTCCTGTCCAGAAAAACACCTCTGATTTAGCTAGCAGATTATCTGCTTGTTTTGTACTTTGAAACTGAAAACTGTAAGCAAGTATAGTTTTCAGAAAAGAAGCAAAAAAAAATTCCAGATATTCTTTTTTTCCATGAAGCTGTTGTTGATGGCTGTTTAAAGACAGGGTATGCCACAGATTAGTTGTCTTGCTATAATGAAAAGGATTAGAGCGCTGTGATAGAACACTGTATCTCTATTAGACTGTTAAAATATTTCCTATCTAATGTGTCAGCCAAACTTGAACCAGGAAAGCCAGAAAATGTGAGGGTAGAACAAGATAACAGTAATACAAATTACTTGTTCTCAGTAGCTTTTTTCTGCGAATACCCCCACTCCATTTTCTGGAATGTCTCATGTAATTTTATCTTTGACTTGCAAAGTACAGTATTAATGCCATTTTTTTTCACCTGAATTTGCAAGATTCCTGTCACTGAGCAGACAGTTCAGAAGCAATAAAAGGTACATTTCTAAAAAAGATCCACCAAATTGGGTGGCATGGCAGGACGTTTCCTGGTTCAACCTAAGCAGCAGTGGGCAACGCATTGGCCACGATGCTGCTGGTGGTAGATTCAGAGTTATTTTGCCACAGTGTGCACAAGAATGTGTATATGAAGCTGCACTTTAATAACTGAAATAACATGAATAAAACATAATCTTTCAGCAATACTGATCCTGCAATTTGTATCACTTCAGTGATCTCGTGTTCAGCGCCTTGTACAGCGCTGCCACAGTTGTCTACCTAGAGGGTAAGCAGTGAGAAATGGATGGGAATGGCAAAGGGAGGGGCAGGAGTTTTTAAGCCAGTTTTGCTTTTGAGGCAATCTCGCTTTCATGAGGGCCACGAACTGTCATGGTTTGTCACTTACCCATTACGGTTGCATCTCTTACTGTGGCATAAGACCTCTTCATGGGGTTACTGTTGCCTTGTAGGGCAACCTTGTGTTTTCTTCTGCACATTATAAAATAACACCCACAGTTTTCCTGAAAGTCAAAGGGCTTTATGAAGTCTGACATCTTGTAATTATTCTTGGACAGCCTTTCACTTTTGTTACCTGTCTCTTCTCACTACCACAAACATGCTCCGTGTTGTGACACGCTAAAAGCCACTGGACTTCAGGCAAACCCTTCCCAGAGTACTTCTCAGTCAGAAGGCCTTTGTCTTTTGGCACTGAGGGATCGATAGCTGGGGGATTGCACTGAGCCTTTACATGTCCCCCCTAGGCTGCTGACAGGGCCGTGTTTGGCAGCTGAGAGTAACCCCCAGCTGGCCGTCAGCTCAGTCGATGGGGTTCGAGTAGACCCAGGGGTTTTTTACCCTCTCACAGAAGCCTCAAGTAAATATACTGTAGTAAACAGAGAAATGATATTACAGCTGTGAGCCAACTGTGTCAGCATGAATCAAAAACAAGCTTGAAGACGGAACATTTTAATTAACCCCAAATCTATGCCACTGTTGTGGCACTCCTCTTTTCCTGCTTTTGTCCAGGGGCTGTAGAGATGCCAGCTGAACCCCGGGTGAAATTTCCAGCAGCTTTGGATGTCTTTTCATTTCCACTGGGGGGGTAAGGCTTTGCACTGTCACTCTGTTGGCAGAGGGCTACGACCATGCTTCTCCTGTAGAGACTTCAGTGTGGTACAAGTCCCAGACGTTTTTTATCTGCATTGTGCTTCCAGGGTGACACCAAACAAGTGGAAGGAGGGACCAGATATTCTAGTACCATTTTTCTGAAGATTAAGCTGAATAAAAATTTGCAAATACTTGTATAAAAGAAGATTTAGAGATTAGAAAGTGGCAATTTAAAAAAGAGACACATATGTGTAATGAAGAAGTGTGCAGCATCAAATAGGATTTTACTCTTGTTGTCCGAGACTTCCTCTGAGTGACAGAATAGGGTTTGTTTCTGTCTTTCATTCTCCAAACATTTTGAATTTACCTCCTCATAGAGTAAAACTGTTCTTGTTGTACTGTACATTGTAAATTTGTTTGGGTTTTTTTTTACTGTTTAAAAGAAAACAATTAGCTGATGTGATTATTGACCACATACGATTCCTCAAGCCATAGAATAAAAAGTTAATAGAAATGGTGTAGTTGAGCTATAACAATATCAATAATAACAGCATCTTTGTGTTTTGTCAAGCCCTTTCACCTCAAGGCTATAAACTTTTACACTAGCAAGTATGTAGGCCACAATAAGCCTGGTGCACTAAAAAATAAATTGTATTTAACTGGGTTTAGAAAATGAGCAAGCAGGATGATTGACTGCTGAAATTCTTAATCTACCAAATAGCGTAACGAGGGGCACAAATAGCTACCGTACTCGCACAGCTGGTTTTCCAGATGAGAGCCCAGGTGAGCAGGGAAGCCAGTGCCAGGTACGGAACCAGGAGGAACCAGCTGTCCCGCCGCTCTGCAGACGTGTTTCCACAGTGGAAAATTCTCTGCCTGTTGCTGGCCCTTGCCAATATTAACACATTTATGGGTTTGATGCTGGGTTTAATTACATCCTTTAGCTCTTAATGACACTAATTCAGTGTAACTCTTTGACATCGGCATTCTTGATGGCTGTTGTTGTATCTTTGCCAGTCGGGGACTGGGCTGAAGACCACCATCAGCTAAACTGTAAAGCGCTGAAACAGATTCTGAGCTATTTCACAAACTTTAATAGCTTTGAATGCAAGCCACGGTGGTCCTACCTGGGCAGCAGCTAGTTTGCGCTTGGCTTCAATCGTGCGGGGAGGAAGGGCGATGGGGCGGTCAGTGGCGCCGAAGGGGAGCTGGCGGTGGGGAGCGGGAGCCGGGCACCAAAGACCCTTCCCACCAGCCACCGGGCGGTTCATGTTAATGCTGAAACCCCAGCGCTGCGTATCTGCGATCCTTGCTACAAGACGGCAGAAGGCCACCCAAAAGCTGCTGGTTTCGGGGACGGCCTTGCCACCTGGCGAAGCGAGGCCTGTTGGGGCAAAGGGCGGGCGGAGGGGCTATGCGTTACACCCGCAGCGTCGCGGAGCTAACGTGTACGTAACGGGGCCGCTGAGGAGGAGAGCTGAACGCTGGGGGCGCGGAGGGCCAGCTCCCCGCTGGGCTGCGGGCAG